TATATATATATATATATATATATATATATATATATATATATATATATATATATACACATCAGGGGATAAGATGTAGATTAAGTGAGGGATGCCATTGAAGACCTTGCTACCATATCCACCACCTGCCACAGAATCTGAGGACTCATTCTTGCAGCAATGAAACAAACTAGGTTCTGATCTCATTATTGTCAGAACATCAGACAGTGTTAATCAAGACATAATTATAAGGTTTGGTACTTAAAGAAATCAGGAAATTCCCACTAAAGTTTATTAAAACAGCCTATAAACTGATGAGGCAGCTGTAGTTTACCTGAACTCATAGCTCTGTCCCCAGTGAAGCTGTTTTTTTTTAAATCTTATGTTAGAATGTTTGATCCGATACTGAAGATGTTATGTTTGATAGATGACCAACTAATCCAGCTCTGTTATTGACATTGTTTAGAGCTGATGAGCGGCGCCCACAGAGAAGAGCACAGGCCGAGTCCTTCCATGTGGTCGTCAGTCCAGATCTGCTCCGGATGCTGAGTCACACAGGTGGGTCCTCTATGGTAGGAAGCACAAAATAAAAGCACTCAAATGAAATAGAGATGTGCAGCGGTTTGATGAGGGATTTCACCCCCTTTCCAATGTTCCTCTGTTTTAGTTTTTGCCTTAAAATGTTTTAGATCATCGATTTTATTTCACTTTTTTGACACTTGATAGCAACATCAGGTGTTTGTGATGATTAGGAAGGTTTTTTTTTTACATCACTGCTTAATATGCAGCATATCAGTCATCATAGTCTAAGCTTTGATTAGGCACTTTTATTTCTTTAGCCACTAAGCTGCTGGATATTGTTGCAGCAAAGCCTCCCCTGACCTCCATGTTTGGCTGTCGTTAAGTTCAAACATTTTCCTGTCAGTCTGCAGAACAAAGAGTCGGGGATCATTTAAGGTTTTGAGGCTAACATGTGACGGACCTTTCTGTTCCTGCCGGTCAGCGGCAGGTTTAGCCTTCATTCTCCCCCATTTCCATCTCAGCATTAAAACTGAAGAAATGAGGCCTGTAGATGATATTCTGGGCTCAGATTCCTGAATGAGTCGTCGATTCACAACTAATAAAAGGTTAACACCATGTGATCTGTTAGACTGGCTAAAACATGTAGGTGTGAGGAGAAAAAAGCAAACATGAAATCTGTAAGCTGGCAAATACTTTTAAACAGATTTGTAAACACTTTTTGAGGACTCAGAGCTTTTAAAGCGTCCAAACCAAGGGTTCTCAGGCGGCGTCCTGCTTATACGGCCTCTCTAAAAGTGGCCTGAGTGCTTTTATTTCAAATGTCTGAGATCATCAGCCGGTCTTTTAGGGAAACATCCATTAAGAAAAACATCTCTTCTGTCTCTCGTCTCCCTCCTGCTCTTTACAGTTTAGTCATTCCATTTTATTTACGTTGAGCAATCGCCTCTGTACCAAATCACTCTGTCGCTTTATTCGCTTTATAATCCCGACTGTATGCTATTGAAGGGTGGGGGGGAATTAGCATCAGCAGCTTGAATATCTGTTTAAGGCATGCCGGGGTTTTAATGTCAATCACAGCCTTATTAACGACGAGCTCAAAGCAAAGGGAGATCACCAGAAGTGACATTTCTTTACGTTTATTAGAAGGCAGGAAGGCGATGCGTTGGACTCTGAAGAACATGTGAAGCGGCTGTGATCGTCCCTGTTTGATGCTGAAGTGAAACAACAGTGGTGCTTTTGTGTTTATGCAGGAAGCAGTGGAGGCGACGCAGACGGAGGCAATGTAAGTGGACCGACTGATGGAGAAGCACGCCGCATTTTGTCACATTACTGCCCATCACTTCAGTGGATTCATTGGAAATCAGGGTTTTAAAACCAGCTCCCTCCTCCTAAACTCACTGCTCCCACATGGAAAGCATTGTCTGGAAGAGCAGCATTTGGTATAAAAATGAGCTTTTATGAGGTCTGTAGAAGTGGAAACATTCTGATGTGAGTGGGACTGACTGTGAGCGAGTCCCTGCGACCGTATGTCAGGTGAAGGATCAGAGGTCAGAGCCTCGCTGCATAGTGACCAGACAGGAAGTGAGGCATTGTACAAAGTAAAGTGGTCAAAATGGGGACATAAAAATGAAACTATTTCAGTTCATGGAGATAATGCTAAAGTTCTGCATTCACTTAGGTTTGTGTGGATAAATCAGCCTGTTATTGCGTGATCTCTGCTGCTGACATAAACAGCTTGAGTTCAGTGGTATGTTTCAAACGGGTCAGATCGGAGCGTGTGGAGATTTGTGTTTTGGTGGTTTACTCATCCGCCTCACAAATCTGTCATCTGTAGAACTATAGAGGGAAGAAAGTCTCGGTTGTTTAAAGAAAACCAGAGGAAGTCATGATTAAAGCTGGGTACAAGACTTTTAGGGTTAGAAGGAGCTCAGGTTGGATTAGATCAAACCCTGTTCATCACCATCCCAACGGTAAGACATGGTGGTGGCAGTGTCATGCTGTGAGGATGCTTTTATAAAACATGAACATGTCCAGATCAGGAGGCTTCAGAAGAGACTGGAGGTTCAGCAGAATAGAGACTTATAAAGTCCGGTTAAATCTGGTCCTGGTGGTCAGATGTCCTGCGCCTTTAAGAAGTGTCCCTGTTTCCACACCTGAACCCGAGGTAGGACCAACGCTCTGCAGTCACACTTCACATGCAGACGAAACATGGTCGATTCACATGGGATGAGGAAAAATGCAGCCACCTAATTTTACGTCATGTTGGTCTGTCCTTTAAATTCCAACTAAAATAACCTGAAGTTTGTGAATAATGTGACAAAATGCAAACGCATATTAACAGGTACAGTGTCCTTCCTTTAAATGTGTGTTTCAGTGCAAATACTGAGCCATTTATTATGAAACCTCCAACCATGACATGAAAATAAAGGTTTAAATCCATTTTCTTTGTTTTCGATGTCCAGGTTATGCTTTTTATAACTTTTTTTTTTTGTTATGCAGAAATATTTTTAGATATTAGACATTTATGCAAATCATTGCAATTATTGTTGGATTTTATCATTTTGCAAACAGGGTTTTATATATAAATGTCAGATTTGAATCAATTTTTTCATGTTTTCTAAAACAAAAACAGCTTTATTTGCTCTTTATCATGCCTTCATTTGTTAATCTAACAGAATCATTTATTATAAATTATGAGATTTCTGTCAAATAATAAGATCTGATAAGAGTGAAATGATCCACAACAGATGGAAATGTTATTTTCATGTGTTGGTAAAAGTTGTTTCTGTATTTTATTTACTTTCAGGATGAGGACGGCCCTGGGACGCTTCATTTGGTTCATTTGGGAATGGTTTAAAAAAAAAAAGACTTTTATTCCCAAATAATCTGCTGGGATACAATAGTTCATGAAGCCTATCTGGATGGTTTTAATTGAAAAAAGGAAACTTACCTGTTAAAACCTAATGTCCACAATCAAACAACATAGAGGATTTTAAATATCTTTATTTTTTAGAACAATCCAATAAAAATGTGGCTGATTATCTGACAGGACTCTATTTTATTTTTTCTATTGTAAACATATCCAAACCTTCCACTAAGCGCCTTTTTTTGCAGCGATAGTGGACAGTGAAAACATCCCCTGCACACGTGTGTGTGTTTTGTAAGTGTGTGTGTTTTGGCTGAGATTACGGGCCGTAGTTTTATTCATGAACGGGAGCCAGCCAGCGCCTTTAAAGCATCCATCGCGCGGAGAGCCCCTTTCCTGAACAGCAGCCACAGCCGTGTCAGAGCTGTCGACGCGCTGCTCTCGCCGACTAATCTGACAGCGCCGCGCGAGCTCTAATCCCTCACTGTATCGTAATCTATTTACTTTGCATTCTAAGAGGATTTCCAACCAAAAAAATATACAAGAAGTGATGCTGGAAATGGACAGAAGATCAACGAGGGGGCTTTTCTACCCTTTTTTTTTTCTTTTTTTGTTTTGTTGGCTTTAAAAGGAAGAAGAAGAAGAAGAAAAATCATTGTATGTTTCTTCGGGTAGTCAATCCAACACGAGAGGGACGGCTGAAAGGAATTACATTTGTGACTGATACTAATACTTCTCTTATGTAAACATCAGTACGTTATATTTCCCCTCTGATGATACAGTCACAGTGCAGAGGAAGCCTCTGATAAGTGGCATCTGTCAGTGCGCTCACAGCATCTCTTGACACGTTTATAATTTACAAACCAACACTGCATTATTTCCTGATTGTTTGACTTGACAGCTTCAAGAAAAGCTGCAAAATTGCGTAAAAAAAGCTGAGCCCGGGCCCCCCTCCCTCCACCCCAATGCCCTGCACTGTTTGACGTTGGAAACTCATCACAAAATTAAATAACGCGATACAGAGAAGAAGGGGGGAAAAAAGGACGGGACCAAACGGTCTCCTCAGTCACCCTTTGAGCAATTATGTCGGCTTTGTGAAATCACAAATGCTTCATTTAAAACGTGGCCGGCAGCTTTATTCTAAAACACTGCCTCAGATCTTTGCCATCCGTGATGACTTGCAGAGATAGGCTTATTAGCGGTATTAACATACTGCGCGGGGTGCTGGAGCTGTGAAACGGCCTTGTTAACATTTTGGAAATGAATCAAGCCTCCAGCTCTCAGGTTATCTGCTCTTTTTTTATGTCTTCTCGATGCAACAGCTGTGCTGAGTTTCTGCAGAAACCTGGTAGCATCTAATGATGCCCCCTGATTGGTCCGATGCCGTCTCCCCTGAGGGGGACAGACATCCATCTATGGGTTTAACTCTTATTTACACAACTCTAATAACTGGAATATCATGGGAACATCCCAGGCGTTCCTAATTAATTAGATATTTAGACACATGGTATCTCTTAAAAGTTAAAATATACATCTTTTTATTTTAGAATTTGGCAGGAAGTAAACAAATACAGTTGGATGGGGGGGGGGGTCTGATATCCTTTGACTCAGATTAAAGTTAGTCTTGATGTTAAGATTCTGGTAAAAAAAAAAGAAAAAAAAAAAAGAAACTAAATGAAAACAACTGGTAAATCTCCTTTAAGCTGTTTTTTATTTTGCCATCAATAAATAAATCAATTCTTATTCCCTCTCCTTTCCATCTCCATTGTACGTGATCATTAGTTCCTCTTATAATAAAGTTCCACAGAACCCCATGTTAACAACCATAAGGTTCTGCTTCTAAAAACATGTTTGGCTCTGGGAAATCGACTCCTGAAGCTTTATTGGCAAAACAGGACACCAAAAAAACCAAAAACAAAACAAATCTGTTAAATATGTTCCTGTCACTCTACTAGCTGGATGTACTAAATATATTTTTCCCTCCAAGTTACGTTTTAGCTGATAAAATCAGAGGTCATTCTATTGCATGAATTTAGAGGCAAACATCTATTAATGTGTAAATTTAAATATTGTAATTGAACATAAATCCATTTAAATAATAAAATAAAAAAAACGTAACCACCAACTTCAGATTGCCATCAGTTTCCATGTGGAGTGATCAGGCTCTGTGGGAAACGTCGAGGCCTGCAGGCCAGTAAGCCCCCATTAAGCTCTCCCAGGACAAGTTGGGACGAGGGTCTGCTGCATCCTTTTCAGATGAGATAATTCCCCTCAAATACCTTCCTAATCCATCCCTCCTCTCCAAGATGCGGCTGCTTCACCAAAAGGGAGACTCTCAAGTCGTCGGGACAAGCAGCCGTCATCTGAAGGGTTTGGAAACCACAGAGAGCTGCTGTTACCAGTTCAGTCTGAATTCCCGTCAGGTGAAGCAAACCAGGAAGGAAACCATCTGATTGCTGCGCTGGCCTTAGATCAGCTGTTTGCTGCACTGTGGTTGAACTTCAGGGATTTTTGGGTTAGCATGCTAACATTTAGCATCTCTTTTTTTTTACCCAAACCAGGATTTTAAACTTCTGGTTGTTTCTGTTTAACAGGAACGTCAATAATAAGTTGATCTACTCCAGAATGAACATTTAGGAAGATTTTCTACCATCTTCTCACTAACATTGGCATCTACAATCAATTAAAGCACTAAACAATCAAAGCAAAAGCTGTTTATCAGCCACAGCTTTGTCCAACAAAGCGACCCAATCTCCAGCACACGTCCAGACCAGGTAACCGGAGTCCTCCAAGTTCTCCCAGCTACAGAAGAGCAGCCACAGGCGGGGAGGACCAGGCCTGCAGGGAATTGAATGAAAGCTCCTGGAGCTTTTGGGAAACTTTATCTGTTAGACCTCCTCAGGTTTTCCCACCTGCCGTAGGTTTGGGTTCCAGAGGTCTGTGGTTTCTTTGCTGAAATTTTTATAAATTATAACATTGAACCATAGAAATCTGCTTCCATCTTTGTGTTTAAGACTTTTACTGAACAAGAGGTTTGAGAAAAACTTTGGACAAAACAAAGAAGGCAGAGAGGGCTGATCAGTTTAGACCCACGTCGCTGTACAGTTGACCCCAGATTAACCTCTCAGGTTAATATAATCCTCCTCTCACTGCTTTAGCCAACGAAAGACGAGCAGAAGTCCTTTTTTTCCCCTTTTCTTATGTGGAAATGGAAGAGAATGGTATTGGCACCATGCTGTGGCTTATTGAGGCCTGTGAGATTCTACAAACCAAAACACTGGTGGATCAATCCAGTTTCATCTCCTGGCCTCCATCGCTGATAGAAATCTAAACTCTTAATGCAAATATAAAGTGCAGCGTGGTTCCAGGTGGTTTCCTGATCTGAGGGTGAGCAAAAGCTCTGCAGCCTCCAGTCCAACTAGTTTCCCACAACGTCACCAGAAGGGAGGAGAAAACCGAAGGGTTAAACCATAAACAGGAGCAATCAATGTGGATTATATGCAGCGCCTCAGCTGTGGTTAAAACACTGATCTACCACAGCAGCACAGGAACGTTTAGCTCTGAATGCTGCAGGAAGCCGTTGTTTTCTAACAGTCTGCTTGTTTTAGAACCTCAGGTTTTAAGATCAGAAAAAGGTCTGATCTGAAGCGATGTTAGCTCCATGCTTTACCTTAAAGCCTCTAAAAGCACTAAAACATGGATGCCAGAGATGCATCATGAGGCCGGCGGGAAACTGACAGCTGTCAGGTGGATGCTTGGAGCATTTAAGAAGTTAAAGATTTTTTTTCTGTTCAAACACTTCGATATAAAAACATCTGACTTTTTCTCTTCAGCCTCTTACAGTCAAAATGTAACATTTCCTTTTTGATTAAACCCCTCCTTTGACTTTTTTTCATAACTTTTCACACAAAAAGACAACAATTTAGGTTAATTAAGTTTAAAGTTCTTAGATTGTTGTAAAGCAAAAAAAATGTTAATAATTTTAAGCTCTTGCAAATAGCATTTTGTTCTTTTATGTTTCTAAATATGGACAAAAAGAAAAAAGACACTTGGACTAAAAAACAAATAAATCTTGGATACAAAACTTTTTAGGATTTTAATATGTCCTTTGAAGGTTTTATTGATGAAAAATTTGTTTCTGAAGCCAATCTTTTGTCTTTATTAAAAAAATATATATATATATTCCCAGTAGAGGTAAATTATTTCAGATCATAATGGCTTCTACACTGAAAAAAATAATGCTACATGTGGAATTTACTTAATCATATTTACTTAAACACAACTGTTTTATGCCCTACTATCCTAACATGAAATACGTGTTTTAAAGTAAATAAATATTAAGTCAAAGTAAAAACGGTTGCATAATTTTTTTTCAGTGTACTTTAATGCAAAAGTTTTTGGAAGTAGTTTAAATCTGGATTAGAAATTAAAAACAAAGCTTACTTTACCTTTTTAACAAACAAAAACAGTTAATCTGTGGTCTTTTATTCCTAAGAAGCAGCTCTTCTCCATCAGACCGTCTAATGAATCTTTTCTTAGAACAGATTTATTTTCTCCAATCCTCCATCAGACAGTTTTCTCACACAATTCTTTTTTTCCCCTCCTTTTAAATGTTTGGTCGCAGCTGCTTCATAGAGAACCTCCAGCTCCTGAGAAGTCCGCAAACAAATCGCGCAAGATTGGTCTGCAAATGTTTGTTTGATGCAAATCCGAACAAATCCGCCGCTGTTGGCGGACGCTGCGCTGTTTGCGCGTCTTGACGCAAACAGCTTTTCATGTCCAGTTCGGCGCATATTGATCCAGCTGCTGCCAGCGGTGGGGGGGCTTTCAGCTTGATGGCCTTTAAAAGGAAGCTTCGTTTGAAGCTTTTTTTAAGCGTGTAGACCATTACCAAAAGAAAAATAAAAATGAATTTAAAGAAACAATATTAATATTCTGACTGCAAGTTAAATTTTTACCTTTTAATTTTTTTTATTGAAATTAATCCCATTAAAAAATCCTGCGTTTTAAATAGTGCGTTAACAAAATTTTATGTGACAAAAAAAAATGTACACATTTATGTTTCTTTTTAGTTTCTTAATAACAAATGTTAGACAAAGACTAAAAGTCTAATTATTTTCAGGGCAAATGAAGGTATTTGAGCTCAGTGCGGCCTTTAGAAGAGATGAAGTCTCCTCCTAACATGTGACCCCCTAACCTGGCCCCACCTCCCTAATTACCGCATCACAGACCCCGAGATTCCTGCGGGTTATTTTGGAGAAACCAGCAGTAATTATCACGCAATTACTGCGGTGCGTTCAATTACGCCTCGATCAAATGTCTTCCGGCTTCCTTGTGTTTTGTTTCCCCCCTCCTCGCTAAACGACAGAGTCAAAATAAAAATAAATAAAAAAAAACATTAACCTCCCTAAAGCAAGGAGAGACGTTAGTGTTTCAATTTAAGGCAGGCAGAGAGGATTAAACATCCGGCTCTCTAAAATGGAAATGCGGGCCCCTACATGCGTTCAAGGCTTGTTTTAATTACGCACCAATTTGCATTAAACGCGCCATAATTAGAGAGAAACAAAATAAACAAGCCTTGAAATAAAAGTGTGACTGCTAGACAGGAGAAAACAGGAGTGTGGATGTTGTCATTTAGGTTTGTACAAGCTTCTGGAAAAAAAAAAAAAAAAAGCTCTAACAGACAGAATCCACTTATGGAAAATTAATTTTGACTTAAGGGATCTTTATTGGATGAACATGTATGCAAGTGTGGTTGCTTTTAAGATACATTCAACATCTCTCCCTCTATTTTGGAGCATTAAAACTCCCCCCCTCCTCCCAAAAAAAGGGAAAAAAAAGAAAAAATAAAATACTTTGACTCCAGGATTAAGCCAAGTGCTGCTGCCGTTCAAACGTCCCATATCTCAAAGCTCCAAAGAGGAGATCTGCTTGGAAAATGAAAAGGCTGGAATAAAGTCTGGATCCGATCAGAAGCATTTTCTATTTTCTCTTTTTCCTTAAATCCAAAACATGTCAAATTTTCTTCTCTTTTTCTGCCCCCCTTGGAATAAAAGCTCAACCTCATGGCCAATTTATCATCTTTGGAATATTTAGAAAGATTTACATACAGCTTCTTTTTTTTTCTTCCCAAAGTTATTATAAACAATCTTAAATTCAGGAAAAGAAAGCGACTAAACATGGTCACTGTAACTGACCCAAATAGATATTTACATACTTCAGCTCCTCGCTGTAGCTGACTAAAAAAAAAAAAAAAATCTCTGTTGTCCTAAAATAACAAATTTGAGAAATAAAAACTGTACAGAAGTGGATGGGGGTTGGAGGGAGAAGAGGGGAGGGGGGCACAGCGGGGGCTTTGTTCCCGTCGGTGAACCAGAGGGAAAATATTCCTCTCATCCAGAGGGCTGCTGGTCAAAAGGAGTTTGTTGAAATAACTTGTTTTTTTTTATAAAGCCACTCTTTGTCGTCACAAAGCTGCTCCCCGATGCTCAACAGGACTCTTTTTTTCTTTTTTGTTGTTTTTCTTTTTTTTTGTTTAGATATGGAGGACAGGTGGGAGGAAAAAGCAGTTCGACTGCTGAGCATTCCTGCTGCTATCGTTACGGTTCATAAACTCTTTGTTTTTTAATAACAAGCAACAAACTAATCTGGAAAAAGGAAAGAAGTGGGAGCAGGATGGGAAAGGGGCCCAGAAAAGGCTGATCACAAGACCTGGAACCTCCAGGAAGCCTGGTCTTTGTAGTCCAAGCAGTCCGTGGCGTTAAAGTTGAGCTTCCATGAGGAGGCTGCAGTCTGCTCTTTGTAATCCAGGCAGTCGGATGAGTTGAAGGCCAGGCTGGAACCGCCGTAGGCCTGGTGGTGGTGGTGATGGTGGTGGTGCCCCGACGACTGGCTGATGTGGTGGTGCGGATGGCCAGACATTGAGGAGGCCGTCATGGGGCTCAGCTGGTGGGGGTGGTGGTGGGAATGCATGGGGGCCAGGTAGGAGCCACAGTCTACGCTGCTGAAGTAGGAGCTGGAGGGGGTGGGGTAGCCCTGGCCGTAGCCCGGCGTCTGGTTGTAGGACATGGGGTAGGAGGTGGCGGCAGCTGCAGAGCCAGACATCGAACGCTGCATGCAGGAGGCGTTGGACGGGGGTCCGGGCTCAGGGAGCGGGGCGACGGCGGGAGCAGGGGCGTTTCCTGGAGAGATGGCCGGGCTCCAGATGGAGGAAACCGTGCTGATGGAGGTAGAGGTGCTGCTAAGAGCTGCAGGGCCGGAGTGGTTGGTGGACGAGGTGGAGGAGGAGGAGGAGCAGGCAGCACTGGAGACGGCCGGAGGGGTGAACTGGCCGCTGCTCTCCGATCCGGTGCTCTCCCGGGCCGGAGAGGACTTCTTCTTGGGCGGCCTGGCCTTGGCGCTGCTGCCGCTCTGCTGCTGCTGGCGACACTTTGCCCTCCTGTTCTTGAACCACACCTACGACCAGAACACAGGAGTTACCAGGCAAGAAGAAGAAAGAAAAATCTCCTTGACCATGCTGGGAGTACATTATGGAGGAAAATTGAGGGTTATTATCCATCAAGGTTCATTTCCACCTCGGCCCCTTGGCTTGGATCAGCCAGGGGTCTAATTTCATACCTGGTAGACGACTCTAAGATAACAGGCTATTGAGTTTCACCACACAGTAGGGTAACTCTAGAGCACTGAGAGGGCTGGACTTTGTAGAGCATTTTGTTTCACACACACATTCTGGAAATAACTGTGAGACAGAGGCCATTATGCCTTTTAAGATCAGCATTTGTTTGGCATTGCACTGCAGCATCTCCATAGTTTCTGCATCTCAGCTCAAATTACATCATAAACAGCAATCAGCTGCAAAATATAGAATATTCTATTCTGTTCAAATTACATCATAAACAGCAATCAGCTGCAAAATATAGAATATTCTATTCTGTTCAAATTACATCATAAACAGCAATTAGCTGCAAAATATAGAATATTCTA